ATAATTCGGAAAATAATAGGCACCAGAAAACCCCAAGAATTAAATACCTGGAGACTGCTACCATGAAATGTATATCTAAAATCACCTCAGCATATGGTAGAGAAAACTGTTTACAGTTCATATTGCAATCGGTTCTTGGCAGCTCTATCATGCATGTTTTTGAAAGTCCAAAAAACGACATCATGTCATTTATGTAGCAAAGCTATAATATATATTACATTGCTAGACACCATAATTTGGAATTTTATGAATTAAAGAAGATCCTTGCGTTAAATATGAACCCTATAGTATCATTGTAATCAAGGAATTCCTTCCACTATTTCCCAATGCTTACCTGCAACAAAATTGTGCTGTAAGAACTAAGCAAGTTCCACACTATCAAAATTTAAACAATCATAACATCAAGAAAAACATATTTAGGAAAAGAACGGCCTCAATCCCATATTTAGTTCGCAATTTAAATAGTCAGCTAAGTAACTTCATTTGTAGCATTCTTGGTCCACAATGATATTTTTTCCTGCCTGGCTCTGACATTAACCACCGCGTCCACAAATTTCGTCACCATGATCAAATTGTTCTCCAATCATAGCCAGCAACTTGAACAATCAGAAGAAAAAAATCAGGCAACCCTTAGTGTTAAGCATCATATTTCACAAGAAGATGTGCTTTTGATGATCTAAAGCATGCCGTGTACAGCCAACATATATCTGACTTTCCCTAACTTTTCTCTAGGGAAAGTTTTTCTTTTTCTTTTTCTTTTTTTTTTTCTTTTTGAAAAGCAAAACATTTTATTTTAGAGTACAAGGGATATTCAACCCATAAACAACATAACAGTTACATAGCAAATTATCCCCCAAGACATAACATTACAGTTCAAGCATTCATGCAACATGGATAAGGGTTTAGGAGCCAATTTGAGAAACCAAAACTCAAGACTTTCCCTCTGTTTTTCAGCCAAAGGAAGGACCTTACTTGGACTAAATCAAGCATTTTGTCAATATCTACCTCACCATGGTTAAACAAAACTTCATTCCTAGTAAGCCAAATAGTCCAAGTCAAAGCAAACCATACTTCCTCCCAAATGAGCCGTTTAGTACTTCTCCACACAGAGACTTATCGGAAAATTGCTGGGTTATCAAGGGCGATAAGGCTGGCTGCAAGACCAAATTCCAAATCTAGCTTTGAGCTATAGAATGTTGCAACAGATAACCTCTCCCTAGTTGAGTTTAGCATTGCTCGATGCTCCACACTATGATATATTCCATTGATCAAAATCTACAGAGGAAACACAGAAACATTGAATGTTGTATAGTGTCATCTTAAACACAGACAATAACATGGACATTTTGTCCCTTCCGAAGATGCTTCCCTTTTGCTTCGCAGCTTTTCTCCCTTATGGACGCCAGGAATTCATGGAATTGCTGGGTTCTCACTATTTTCACCACAGCTTGGACAATCTGATACTTTAAAAATGGTATTGTATTTAATAAACTCTCTTGGGAGAAAAGCAGGCTTGTTGATTTAGTGCAAGCTAAGACTTTTGGTTGGGTTGGATTAAAGGAAAGTCAAAATTAGCAGTGTTTAGCTATGGTGATTGGTGCCAATTTCCAAATCTTTGTGCTGCTAAAACTTTGTCACCAAACTACTATCCTTGTATCCCTTTTCTCTTGTTGTAACGTGAGTACTCTTGTACTTCATTTAATAAATTTTGATTTATAAAATAATAATAATAATAATAATAAGATGGACCAGAGAAAGTCTCAAGGGATGAGTAATTTTTCTGAAGGGCAAAATGGCATGGTACGATGGTGTCCAATATTTAATGGACTGGGTCTGGGATAAGATAGCTTAAAAACTGAGCTAAAGGAATAGAAACAAAGCCCAGAAAACTTGATTGGGCTGATAGGTTCATCCCTACATTTGGACTCTAGTGTTTTGTTGTGGCTGACTTACAGTTTTAGTCCCTGAGGTACAACTCATAAACTGATTTAATCCTAATCCATATTTGTATAATTTTGGTCCTAACATATGAAATGAAAGTTATTAAGTTAATGATTGATAGAATACACATTTTAAGACTAAAGTATTTTTTGAGAATGTTGTACAATAATAATGTTGCTATAGATTTTTCTGTTTATTCAAAAAATATGTAAAATTTAAATACTAGATATTTTTTAATATTTAAAAAAAAAAAAAAAAACTTAAAGCCACAACAATAGCACATCAATTTCAACCAAAGCTTAAAGAGTAGAGCTGTAGAGGCCATACATTAGAAGCTGAAAAGGCGGTTAGCTATATATGTTGCACCTAGGATCATATTTTAGCCACCACCGACTAGGGTACCATGTTATACCATGGCTCTAACAATCCGTTTTGTAGATTTAGAGCAATGGGATCTTAATGAATGCTTACAACGAAGTAAGGATATGTTGGTAGTACAAATACTTGCTAACCCCGTCAATGCAAGTTCTTTCATAATTGATGAAGTATTACACCACATAACTTTTTTGAACTTTGGGTTCAAGTATACATTTGCTCCCCACCTTCCATTCTCATGAAATCAAGATAAGACTTGCCATTTAGTTTCCTAGCAAAAAATTCCTTGAAGTATTTCTCCACAGGGACTTGCTGGAAAATTATTGAGTTATTTCGGCCAATAAATCTTGGTGCAGGACCTAATTCCGAGTCTAGCTTTGAGTTATAGAATGTTGCAACAGATCATATCCTCTCCCTGGTTGAGTTTACTATTGCCCGATGCTCGATACTACGATATATTCCATTGCTCACAACCTACAGAGTAAACAAAATACATTGAGTACCAATCTTTAACTTATTTCAGAACAGACTAAGCAAGTACGTAACATAGGACTACCTCCATTATGTCTCCAATGTTGAATACCAAATCATTTGGTTGCGGCTTAATTGGAACCCATCCCCCGTCCTTTCGGATTTGTAGGCCTTCTGTTTAGTTAAGTTGGAAAAGAATCGTCAAGGCATCTGCATCTAAATGAGTTGTGAAACCGATGGCCATTTCAAGTTCAGGGCCTAGAAGATAGTTGTTCATTCTCATTGATTGAACCACATCGGTGAACAACACTCTTATTTCCTGTTTGGGCAGCTTTACGAACCTACACTGTAGAGATCTTCAACTGCTTCAACACTTGAAAAACCCGAGAATGTTTTCTCGGGAAAGACACTCCGATGCTCAAATTAATAATACTTAATATTCTAAAGAGAGAAGTTCTCAAGAGTAATTGTAGAGAGAGAAGCGTAATGGAGTTATTACCTTGAATGAAGGTAGGTAGGGAGTATTTATAGCCCCATGTGATGACATGAGTTCATACATGTAAGCATCTGATTGATCCACGTGCCACCACCCACGTGGGTATGTCAGGGCTAGTGCATAGAGGCATCTTCATTTTAGGCTTATAGATAAAATGATTGGCTTGTTGCACATGACCCAGGTTGGATGTTGGGTCTACTCCCAACACTCAACATCCATTTTTAAAGCTCTTCCCATCTGATCTAGTATCAAAAGAACTGGATTTTTCATTTACATGGAGTATTCTTCCATTGTTTCTCTGTAACAGAATTATGATATTGAAATGCAAAATCAAGTGATTCTGTTAAGAAATTAGTAAATATTTGTTTGACATATCTAATAAAATAATTTATCTATCTAAAAGCTAAAGTTATGTCAAGTACATTTTTTTCTGGGAAGAGATTCTACCTTTAAATTTCTACCAAAGATGACTAAAAGTTGAAGCTGTAGTCTTAAACCTTTTGGTAAAGATCTTATACCATATAGTCTTTCAAAGGTAATAAAATTTTAATCTGGGAAGGGTGGGTCCCATAAACATGGTTTGTCTATATAATAATTAATTAATAGATGTACAACTTTAATAGCAAAAAAAACCCTAGCTGCTTCTTCATTCTCTTGCCTTGATTTTCTCCTCTTTTTCTTATTTTCTTCTTTCTCCTAGATGTTGCTTCTCTCCCCCTTGGCAATTAGGGTGGCTAAACATAGGAGTTTTATCCCCTCTTGTGAGTATTATTCCCTCTCTTGTGGAGGTTTCTCCTTCTTTTTATAGGATTTCTACTTTGGCTTCTACGATATTTTTTATTGGGATTCGCTCTTACCCAAGGAAATTGATAGCTTGAACATGATATTAGTTAGACTTAGACTAGTTGTTGTACTTGTTTCAACTATTAAAAAGATAATTAGGGACAAGGTCCCTAGCTAAATTTTTCTACCCCAACCAATTACCTTCTATCTGAATGGATTATGTTGAAATGCAGCTTAACTGCTAAATCTGGAGCTCGAGGTTGATTGTGATATTTATATAGGCATTAAATTATTTAAGTTTGCAATTTCACTTATTTTATGAGTGTAACACCTCTAACATATTACCCTGTTTAGGATGGTCCTATAACCCTTATTATTATTATTATTTTAATTAGCAAAACCAAATGAGAAATTTATTATTATAAGAGTATAACGAATACTCCTAAGCAAATTACAACTCTAAGTCCATAAACCAAATGTAGTCAAGTTACATACTCATAAAGAAACCAAAAAGTACACAATGACAAAACAAATCAACACATAGCCCTATTCAGCAACTTGTAACTTCTCAAATTTTTGCAATGTTGCACAATGCTTTCTCTACGTTCCACAGGTCTTGATAAGTGAACACATAACTTGTCACTTTATTCTTTAATCATACAAAAGATTTTGTTTGTATTAACTCTACCAACAGCACCTCATACCTCAAATTTGTCTTAAACAACGTCATATTCCTCTAGTACCAAAGAAACCAACCAACAACTAAGAAAATGAAAGCACCTAAATCCTTCCCACATCCCCCACCTATACCTTGCATCATAGTTTCTGCAAATCCAAAAATGTCATTTGGCAATACACCTTGCCAGCCCCACCATCTCAAAACCTACATCCACACTAACCATGCCCCCTTACATTCACAAAAGACATGATGAAGTTGCTCCACACCCTCATTACAAAACCCACAACCAACATCCCCCTCTAGCAAAACCCCTTTCCTTTATAAATTCTCCTTTGTTGCCAACCTATTCAAAAATAATCTCCACCCAAATACACTCAATTCAGAGGGAACATACTTACACCAAATAAACCTAGACCACTTCTTATCAAGAATATAGTTTGTAGGTGTTAAAAAAGCATAAGTAGCTTTCATAGAATGTACGCTATCACCACTATGAACCCATCTCCAAAAATTAGCTTTATCCTTCCTCACCTTTACTCCATTAATCAAGTCCTTAAACTATTCCTCCTCACTACCCACCCTCCCCACACAACTATGTTGCCATCTACAATCCCATACCCAATCATCCCCACTCCAAAAACCCATATTCTTCACAATCCCCTCCCTTTTCATTGCTAACACAAACAACCTAGGAAATAAATTTTTTAAAAATTTATCTCCCACCCACTTATCCCCTCAGAACTCCACACGACTTCCATCCCTAACTTCCCATTTAAAACCCTTTGCTAACATGAAATTTAACCTTTTAGACTTTTTACCAATACTCACAATATCCTTCCACACTTGAGACATATTTAAATAACTAAAAGAAAGAATATCAGCCTCATTCCTACCTCTATTATATTTCTCTCAAATCACTCTCTTCCATAAACCCTCTATCCCATCCCCTAATTGAAACCACCATTTACCTAGTAATGCCCAATTCCTCCTTTCCAAATAAGCCACTCCCAAACCCCCTCTCTCCTTATCCACACATATATTAACCCAACTAATTGAGGCAATTTTCTTCAAATAAGCACCACCTCAAAAAAAATTCCTTTGAATTTTAATCATCTTAACAAGAACTCATTTAGGAATTTTAAATAAAGAGAAATGAAAAACAGAAAGAGTAGAAAGTACCGAGTTGATTAAGGTGATCTGACCTCCAAAAGATAGCAAAGGGCTCTTCCAGCGACAAGCTTAACTTGAAACCGATTCAGCATAGAATCCCAAAATCTTTTCCTTCCCGAATTCCCTTCAACCGCTAAACCAAGATAGATAAAATACACCTTGATGTCTTGCCCCAAAATACCCTTCGGCTAAGCGGTTGTTGTAGTGTAGTTTTAGATGTTGAATTCATAGGAAAACTATATTAAACCAACAAAAAAAGTTGTTATAATGAGAAATTAAATTGAAATATGATTTTTAAAATTAAGAATAAAAATATTTAAATAATAGATGACAATTACAGAGGATTAAAAACAATATTGTGATGTACAAGATTTTGGGGTTCACTTAATTGATTTGTTCAACTATTATAAATTTTGATTCCTATTTATTACTCAATTACATGTTTCATGTTCAAAACAAACAATCAGAAGATTTAATTTTGAAGACCAATAATAAGAGCTAATGTATTTATTTTAAGATAAATTAATTTCAATGAAGAACAAACTAATTGATCATTACGAACTATCTCAAAGCGATAATATATATAATCGACAATATTACAGTAAAGGATTAACCTGTAAAACATATCTACCAATTAATTATATTTTAACAAATTATACATAATTAAAAAGAGCATGACTAATCTTATATGAAATTTTATGAATATAATTTGTAGGATTTTCAAATATGAAAATAATTAATAATCTCTCAAAAATAAAATAAAATAATAAAATCTATGAAAGAATCAAAATAAAATAACAAGTCAAATTTCCCAATTAAAATCTTCTCTAATCTTATTTAAAGTTTAGTTACATTTTGATATAACTCTCTAACCTTTGAAAAAGAAGAAAATAGAAGCTTGGGAACAGCCTCTCCCGCTTCCTCAATTCTGAACTTAGATGGGTATTTATAAGATTTTAGAAACCATAATTATAATGGCTGTGGGACCCACATCAAAACAATTAAGACAATTGGCTGAAAAATCGGGCAAGGGGTTGATACCCTCAACAAAGTGCCGGCACCTTGAGTGAAGCGCTAACTTGATACTCCGTGCCGGGTTTTTAGCCTTTTATGCAATTTTAGTTAATGGCAGAATAACAGTCCTGGTCCCTAACTCTTGGATTCCGTTCAAGTTGATCATCATATTTTTGATCTCTACAATTTGCTCCTTAATCAAAAATGGAGAAAACCTCACCTAAGCCTTCAAACTTCTAAATTTGATCCTTGGACCCTCATCTTCTGTCTCTTTCTATTTAAGTCCTTTTCTTTTAATTTTCTCAATTTAGTTATCAAACCTTCAATCAGCAAATATTTGCACAACATGAATAGAATGAACCATTACGAAATTACTTGTAGCAAAACACAACTCCTAAGTTCATAATTCCACAAATATCAATGGTTAAAAACACTTTAAATATACATTTTCATGCTTTCATCACACCTTTGCCACTTTGCATCGCAAAATATCAGCAGCACCTTTTATCCACCCTTTTGAAACATTAAATCCATACAAATAACTCTTGCAAAAATTTATTTTTAAACCTGAAATCAATTCAAATAAATGCAGAATGGCCTTCACTACCCTTAAATTTTTCGCATCTGCCTTCCCCATAAAAACAATATCATCAGCAAATTGTAATAAAGACAACACAATTCCACCACTCCTAATTTCCACTCCTCGCAAAAGTCCCTCACCCTCTACTTTTTTCATAGCCCTCACCAATTAGTAAAAATAGAAAAAGGGACAAAGGATCACCTTGATGAAGACCTTTGCCAACCAAGAATTCCTTCATCGGGCTTCCATTAATTAAAATAGAAACCCTTGCTGTTGATAGACATTCATGAATCCATTGTCTCCATTTAACCCCAAAACCCATTCTAGCCATCATCCAATCAAGAAAAGACCAATCTACACAATCATAAGTCTTTTCAAAATCAACTGTAAATAAAGCTCACTTGCTTCCTTTTCTTTACCTCATCCACAACCTCATTGAAAATCAACACACTATTCACCAATTGCGGCCCGCCCACAAAAGCTAATTGTGAAACACTAATAATGTCCATCATTACCCTTTTCCACCAATTTGCCAATACCTTAGACAATAGTTTATACAAACAACCAATCAAACTAATAGGCCTATACTCCTCAAAGTGCACTGGATTTAGTTTTTTAGGAATCAATGCCAAAAATAAGGAATTTAAGCCTTTAACTAACCTCTCATGTTGATGAAAATCCATTATAAAATTTATAAAATCATCCTTCAATGTGTTCCATTCAAACTTTATGAAATTAAAACTATAACCATCTGGTCCTGGTGCCTTTGACCCAT